TCTTAAGACAACCTTCAAGCCTGGAATTAAACTGCCATGGACTCAACCTTTTAGACAACTTAATTAACAATCATTTGTAAATGTCCTTGAGTTAGGATGGTAGGGGTTAGAGTGCTGTTGAATTCTGTGGCACTATTATACTAACAACCATAAAAGGTGTGAATTACTGAACAGAAAAAAACTTGTTCAGCCAGATTATCATTCAAAATACTTGTTAAATTTGTTAAAATGAAAAAGGCCCATCTTTTCTGTACAGCAAGGAAAGGGTTAATGCTGACTTCATATACTTGGGGCTAAAAGCAGACTTCTGAAGAACCTTACTTGCTCCTGTGAAAACCCAGCACCAATTACCCATGTTATAAACCCTCAAATCCTTTGTCATCAATTTTATCAAGTAGAGCATTAACTCCATTAGGTTTTCATAGGTTGCCCTCTGTATAGGTCCTTCGGGGTTCTGCAAACTGGCTTTGCGGCACTCAGGAACTTAAGCAGCCCTGGTAGCATCGTGGCTTTACTCACTGGGCTGATAACAAGGTCAGGAATTTTCAAAGATGAATTCTTATGCTCCTGTAAAAATTTAGTCTCAGAAACCTAAAGGGGAAGTCCTATTCTGCCCTATAGGATCACTTATTACAAACAGGGTGGGTAACTTAGGGACCTTGAAATTCTAATACAGCATTACAAATAGGCAATTTGTTCTCAGTGAAATGTTCATTATGGGAAATGCCTAGCAGTTGAAGCAATAAACATCACTTGTTATTGTACCAATAGTTTTGGCCACACACCCTGTTTTTGTAGTCATAAACTTAATGCAACCTCATTAAGATGAAGAGAACCTTGCATATTAAAGTGAAAAGATCACAAAAGGGTCAAGGCAAGTCCCAAAAAATATTTTGTTACAATGCTTAGTTTTCACTCATTAAAAAAAAAAAAAAAGATGACTGGCAGTCAAGTACAAGTAACATAGTTTTGTTAGTACTTGCTCAATAGGTTTAATCTTGGCAGCACATTCAAGTCACCCTAAAACTTGTATCATATCATGCCATCATTAAGTTTTTGAGATAGAACAAAGACATCAATTCTTAAATGTTGGTACTCCAAATAAAAGTCAACAAAATTTTACCAACAGATAAATCAATTTATTAAAATAGTTGATTTAAGCATCTGCAATGGTGACTTCAACCTCTACTCCAGGTTCAATACTTATGGAAGTGATCTGCTTAACTATCTCAGAAGGACTGTGCAAATCAATGAGACGCTTATGGATTCTCATCTGGAATCGATCCCAGGTCTTTGAACCTTCACCACAGGGAGTTTTCCTGGTCGTAATTCTCAGAGTCTAAAATGAAAGAAAATTATGCAGTTTTTAAATGTGTACACTTAGAATACCTGAATAAGCATCATTTTGAATCTTACCATCATTCTTTCCATAAAAACAGCAGTAACCATAATGCATTTTCTATGAACAAAATCCAATCAGCTCTATTTACTTAAGTTTTGTGTTAATATCAGAACATAACTGCTCTGGGAGACAAAACCATTTTCTGAAGTGGAAAGGTAAGGATGTGGTTTTATACAACAACCAGAAGCATCTCCCACTCCCTGCTTGTTGGACCATGGTTTGCTTTTACCTTGGTAGGCATCCTAACTGGTCCCTTCACTTTCAGGTTCTTCTCCTTAGCCCCTCTGATCAAGTCAGCACACACTGTAAAGAAAAAGACTGCCTTTCAGTCCATGCAGCACAATTAAAACATGCTTTTAAAAGTCAACGAAAAAAAAAAAAGTCAACGGATGCTGGCTCAGAATAGCGTACAATAAAACATCACCATCATTCAACACATAGATCTCTCCTCATTGCCAGCTGTCTAAGTCGAGGCACTAAAACCCCGAGTTGTTATTTTGGCTAAATGACCAGCAGTTGCCTTTGAAAATAGCTCTGCACATAACCAAGGCAAAGCCTCTGTTCCAAAGGCCTCACTCAGCCACGAAAGCACCGACCTTTCTCCAAGGATTTCACGTTGCGGCTGGTCAGAGTAATTCTAATCCGGTGAATGGCCACCTCTGGTTCCACAGGTGTCTTTCCGGTGTCCTTAAATGCCTGCCAGTCACACAGACGACAAAACATTAACAATCGTGGAGACAAACGCGTTAACCTCCTCAGGTTCCTCTTGCAAGAAACCTCGTAACTATCCTCACCCCCGCCCCGCCCGATTGTCGTAATGTTGTCGGACTGTAACACAGTTGATGACGGAAAGCTCCTTTGTTGAGGGCCACGGGGGAAAAACAACCGATTGCCCTGGAGCCTCACACCCCAAGGTGCAGCTCTACCCCGTCTTACAGAGTCGCGGGGAGTCGGGATGCGCGGGCCGACAGCGAGGTCGGTTTCGCTGTACAAACCGGAGCAGGGTACGCTCGGTCGCTCCCGTGAAGGCGCACAGTCTCGGAAAGCCTACTTGTTGTTGTAGTCCTGACCCACGCTCTCTTAGCCTCCACTTCCGGCAGCGCGCCGCGAGCCCAGCCCCGCTCCGGCGCCGCGCCCCGAGCCCCGCGCCCCAGTCCCAGTCCTCACCATGGCGGCGGGGCGCTTCCTGACCGACTTGTTCCTCGATGCTCGGCGAGAGCGAACAGCAGTGAGTCAGGAATGGGAGCAGGGGGACAGCGCGCGGTGGGACGGCGGCCGCGTCTTCCTCAAAGAGAAAGGGCGGACGCATGCGCCGAGCTTATATAGCTTCGCCAGCGTCTGCATCCGGGTCCCAAACGCCGCTCCAGAGCTGCCCCGGAACAGGAACTGCCCACCTCTCTCGCGGAAGCCGAAAAGCCGGCGGTGTGCGGACGCGCTGTGTTGGCCGGAAAGGCGCGGCTGCGTCCCCTGCTCCGGGCCGCGCGCGTCCGGAGGGGCTCCGCCGGGCCCGGGCCGCGCAGCCGCCTTTCTGCGTCGCCTAGTGCAACAGACCTGACCTCGAACGGAGAAATCCCCCTGTCTGTGCGTTGCTTCCAGCCACGTGAAGTTCTAAAGACCCTGAGGGTTTTGCTACCCATCCAGACAGAATAAATCACCTGTTATCTGAGCAAGTGGGAACTTCTCTGAGCTTAACGCACGCCCATGGGTATTAGGAAAAAATGACCGATAATTTGAGAGTGAGATTTTTAATACTCATGTAGAGTTCATTTTCATCGCCTGAGATAGCCCATCGTGATATTTCGGCTCCTGATTTCTGTTTACCACCAGTTGCTGTGAGTTGACTCTGACTCCTGTCGACTGTGTGTGTTTTAAAAGTAGACCTCTTTTTCCCACAGGGTTTTCAAAGCCTAATTTTTCTAAATTGTCAAGTCTTTCTTCTAAGGTGCCTCTGGATTGAGGAACCTTGGTGGCATTGGGCTGCTAACTTCAGAATCCACTTCGAAATCCCCAGCCGCTCCCTGGGAGACAGGCTTCTCTTCTTAAGAGTTACCGTTGGAAAGCCCACGTGGAAGAAGCGCACCAGCCTGTGTGATCAGGAGGTGTCGAGGGGATCAGGTATCAGGCTTCAAAGAACAAAAAATC